TTTTACATGTGTTTGTTATATAAACTAGTGCGAGGTATATATATATATATATATATATATGTATATACTATACTATACCCTACATCGCACTCATACAAACATACAAGCATGCATGCAAGTACATGCATGCATGCATGCATGCAAGTGTATGCATGCAAGTGCATGCATGCATTGTTTGTAATTGGAGAGAGAAGAAGGTAGAAGAGTTGTTGCGGGGGTTTGTCTGAATTTAATCGATGCATTTCGCATGAAAGTCCTCTCTTTTAAACGATTATATGCCTCTCTTATACGCATGCATGCATGCGCATGCAAGTGTATGCATGCGCATGCAAGTGTATGCATGCATGAAAATAACGAGGAGCTTCTTTTAAACCCTTTTGCATGCCTATGCTCTTTCTTTCACTCGCCACCACAGCAAACAAAACACAAAAAAAGAGGTTTTGTTTGTTTTTAGCGAGCTCTCTTCACTCTTAAAGAAAGAGTTGAGGTGTACAGACACCTGAGGCCGCTCGTTTTACTTTTTCTTCTATCCTCTCTTCAACGACATTTTAATATTTAATCTTTCGTTTGTTTATTCACCTCCACTCAATATTTTTATCATTGTTACGAGTAATAATAATAATAATTAGTAATAGCAATAAGAATAAAAGCAATAGTATTAATAATAATGCTGATTATTATTATTACTATTATTAATATTGTCGTTATTATTTATATTGCTAATGTTAATATCTTTACTAATGACATTTGTATTTGTATAAATATTCATAGTAATATTCTAATAAACATCTTCACTGCTACTATTAATATTATTATTATTATTATTATTATTATTATTATTATTAAAATCTTTAACTCTGCTACCCCTACTATTACATTGTTATTACTATCATTAATATAGAATTATTATTATTATATTATTATATTATTATATTATTACTATATTATTTTTATTTCTATTATTAATATAAATACCATCGGTACAAACATTATTATTATTATTATTATTACTTGAATAATATTATTATTTACTATGATAACTAAATATTAACGTCATTAGTTAAAATATTACTGCAATATTACTACAACTTCCCTATGTCTTTAACTTATAAACATTAATACTATATATATATATATATATATATAGTATTACTATTATATACAATATACATATATATATATATACATATATATATATATATATATATAAGAATACTAGTAATATTAATAACAATATTATTATTATTATTATTATTATTATTTTGACTAAAATTCAAACGCCACACCCCAAGACCGGGGCTGTTCAATGAACAAAACATCACCACAACGCGAAGGGCCCCTCGGGGGCCCCTAAAGTACCCTGGGGGCCCCTTCTTTATCCCCTTAGTTGACAAGAGGAATGGTGCATGCATGCAGCGTGCATGCATGCACTGTACGCTTCAGACAAGAGGGGGGGGCCCCCCAATGCATGGGGCCCCCCAAGGCATGGGGCCCCCAGTGATTAAAACCTGACCCTTTTGATTGCCCCTATCCCTCTAAACGAAGGCTCAATAGGGGCCCCTTTAGGGGCCCCTATGCGGGCCCTTGAAGGCCTATTGGGGGCCCCTTTGGGGCCCCTTAGATGCTTCTTGGGGGCCCCTTGAAGGCGTTTGGGGGGCCCCTTAGGGGCCCCTATGCGGGCCCTTGAAGGCCTTTCGGGTGGGGCCCCTTTGGGGCCCCTTAGGAGGTCTTTGGGGGCCCCTTGAAGGCCTTTTGACGAACCCCTTTGGGGCCCCTTAGAGCCTTTTTGAAGGCCCAATGAAAGCCATTTGGGGGGCCCCTTTGGGGTTTAGGGTTTAACCCTAAACCCTAAACCCTAAACCCTAAACCCTAAGCCCGAAATCCCTAAATCCCTAAATCCTGAACCCTTTAGGCGCCCCTTGGGAACCTTCGGAAGCCCCTTGAAGGCCTTTTGGGGGGCCCCTATGGGGCCCCCTTTGGGGGCCCCCCTGGGGGCCCCTTGAAGGGTTCAGTAGGGGGCCCCCCTGGGGTCTTCGGGCTTCCCCTGCCAAGGGGGGGCCCCCCTACCCTATCATCCGTATGTGAAAAGAGAGAGTTGCGGTGTATAGGCAGCTGAGACAAAGGCTGTGATGTGCTGTTTACTCGCAGTCTGTTTGCTGCTGCTGCGCTGCTGCTGCAGCAGCACACGGAGAGAGCGCTGTGCCCTTCGGATCAGCAGCATCCGCTGCATGCGAAGATACTCCTGCTGCTTCTGCTGCTGCTGCTTCTGCTGCTGACACTGCTTCTGCTGCTGCTGCTTCTTCCGCTGACGCTGCTTCTGCTGCTCTTGCTTCTGCCGCTGCTTCTGCTGCTGCTGCTGCTGCGGTCGTCTGCGCATCTGGGGGGGCCTCAGTCTTCGGCGGAATCTCTGCTTCTCCCTTTGAAACCTGAGCTGCTGCTGCTGTTGCTGCTGCTGTTGTTGCTGCTGCTGCTGCACCTGTTGCTATCTCTGCAGGATGTGCTGCTATTGCGGCTGCTGCTGCTCCCGCATCTGGGGCCGGTGCTGCTGCGCTCTCCTCTTTCTTAGTAGCTGCTGCTGCACCTATTGTTGCTGCTGCTGCAGCCGTTGCTGCTGCAGCAACTGCTGCTGCTGCTGTTGCTGCTGCAGTCGTTGCTGCTGCTGCAGCAGAAGTTGTTGCTGCTGATTTCTCCTCAGTGTCCTTCGCTGATGGCTCCTCGAGGCGTCTTCCCTCAGCAGCAGCAGCAGTTTCAGCAGCACCAGGAGCTGATGCTGCTGCATTGTCAGGAGCTGCTGCTGCTGCTGCATGAGCAGCCGAGCTATCCTGGAGGCGGAGATCAGGAGCAGCAGCTGCAGCAGGAGCAGCAGCTGCAGCAGGAGCAGCAGCTGCAGCAGGAGCAGCAGCTGCAGCAGCAGAAGAAGAAGCAGCAGCTGCTGCAGGAGCAGCAGCTGCTGCAGGAGCAGCAGCAGGAGAAGCAGCAGCTGCTGCAGCAGGAGCAGCAGCAGGAGAAGCAGCAGCTGCTGCAGCAGGAGCAGCAGCAGCAGCAGCAGCAGCAGCAGCAGGTCTCCACATTAAGGGGAGGCTGCAGCGTGCTATGATCTTGGAGAAGTGATTATATGCAGGCAGAGACCGTCTCTTTCGTCCGTTGAGCTGCAGCGCAGCAGCACTTGATAAACAACCCTCTCCGACCGCAGGCTTCTGCTGCTGCTGCTGCTGCTGCTGCTGCTGCTGCTCTTGCTGCTCATTCTCCTCCTTTCGTTGCTCCTCCTGCTGCTGCTGCTGCAGAAGCAGCTGCTGCTGCTCCCCTGAAGCACACGTCTGGGTGTCAATCATCCCCGAAGGCGTCGCCGCCCCCTTAGACTCATCGGAGGCCCTCATCTCAGCAGCAGCAGCAGCAGCAGCAGCAGCAGCAGGGCGTCTGCTGCTAGCTGTTGTATGCGCACTGGTTGCTTTAGAGGGGAGACCCTTTGGCGCTGCTGCTCCGTAAGAATGACTGGGGGCTGACCTGCGGCGCAGGCCTTCGTGAAGAGTAGCAGCACGTGATAAGGAAGCAGCAGAAGAGCATGCAGACAGCAACTGCTGCTGCTGCTGCTGCCGCTGCTGCTGCTGCTGCTGTTGCTGTTGCTGCTGCTGCTGCTGCTGTGCAGCAGCAGCGGGAGACGGGTCAAACGGTCGTCTCGAGTTGGGGACACGCCGAGCCTTCCTCTGTCCACACACACCCCAGCAGCAGCAGCAGCAGCAGCTAGCAGCAGCAGCTAGCAGCAGCAGGGAGTGAAGGCGAGGGCGTAGGCAATGTTATAGAGCTAGTGGGTATATAGAGCGACGGAGGCTGCGGGTGTAGAAGAGACTAAAAAAGAAGAGAGAAGCTCCAATAGAACTAAACAACTACGACCTAGGGTTTAGGGTTTAGGGTTTAGGGTTTAGGGTTTACCCCGCCCGCGAGGTCTAGCTCTCTAGCGACTGTCCAAACACTGCCCTTGCGCACGTGCTGCAGGAAGAAGAAGCGGAGAAAAGAGCGAAATGAAGTATAAAAGAGAATAATTAGAGTTTAATTTATTATATTTAAGTTAATTTTATTTTAAAATCTAAAAATTAACGTACTTTTAACGGCTCGATATAACTTGAACTCATATCGGGCGACCGCAAGCGGAAGACCCATCGGTGCTCCGGGTGTCTGTACCTGCCGACAACTTTAGCTCTAAGAAGACAGAAAAAAGAAAATAAATAATATTTTATTGTTATTAATCAATTAAAATCTTCAAACGCAGTTAAAATACACATATATTCACCTATTTATTCAAATACTCTAGCCAGCCTCTCCTCCTCGATGTACGTACACCCCAGAACTACTACAACCAACAAAAAAAGAAGTGTTTTGCTGTGTTTACACCTACAATAATTTTATATTATTTATATATTTCATTCAAAATCATATACACACCCGAAGCGATCAATACAGATACATACAATACTAATAAAACTACATCTATACATGTATACATCTATAGATTTATACATTTATATATATATATATATATACATATATGTATGTATGTATGTATATAGAGATGTATAGATATACCTATACAGATGTATATACCTATATATATATAAATATACATATATATATACATATAAATATAATATATAATATATTATATATTATATATACTATATTATATTATATATATATTTGCATGCACTGCTTACCGAAAGATCTGCGCGTCTTCATGCGCAGCTTTGCTCTCTACCCACTCGCCGACAGAAGGCGGAGGTAATTCTTCGACAGGTCTAGAGGCCTCTAAAGCTACGAAGGGCATATTAACTACTGTGCATGCATGCATCAAACACACACCAAAAAGGGTTTAGGGTTTAGGGTTTACGGTCTAGGGTTTAGGGTTTAGAGGTAATATACACCGCGACACGATCGGGCATTATAATAAATAAATTCTTAATAAATATGCACAAGAATTTAAATAAATAAATAATACACTGATAAACAAATAAAACAAACAGAGCAAAATAAATAAATAAACAAATAAATAAATAACAGCGATGTATACAGACATCTGCATGCAAACACAGCAGCAACGCGGTGTACAGACATCTGAATAGGGTGTCTGTCTCTTTAGAGGCATTTTTAGCTGCATATACACCGCATCAAACTAAGTAAATAAACAATTAGAATAAAATATACACTCGAAGCAGCTGCACATACACCCCAGCTAACGGCAGCAGGAAGCACATCAAAATATAAATATGTATATATATATATATATATATATATATATATATACATCGGCTTTATATTTTTAAAAAGTGTATAGATAAACAAAAAGAAAGAAGCTGCATATACACCGCAGCAAGTTAAGAAATAGCAAATAAGCAGCATAACAAATTCAGGTGTACGTACAGCCATTAAATATCAATGAGTAATCTGCTGCAGGTTTTAAATTCTCCTCGGGCACAGGCCCCTCTTCATCTTCATCATCGTCATCTGCTGCTGCTGCTGCTGTTGTTGCTGCTGCTTCTGTGGCTGTTGCTGCTGTTGTTGTATCTGATGCTTCTGCAGCAGCAGAAGCAGTCGAAGAAGCTACAGCGACAGCATCTGCTGCTGTCTTTATAGGGGCATCAGCAGCAACTGCAGCAGCAGCAGCAGCAGATGCTGCTGCTGCTGCTGCTTTATTGCTGTCATTGTAGGGCTGCATATTTTCTTCTTCGCTAATTCTCTGGCGGCTTGGGGCTTGCGGTGTCTGTACACCCGAAGAAAAGGAGACAGCAGCAGCAGCAGCAGCAGCAGCAGCAGCAAATCAACTGTCTCCTCAGAAGCTAAAAGGAGACAGCTAGCGGCTAAAGGGCCTTCTCCTCTAACAATGAAAGAAACCCTACTACACTCTGCTGCTGCTGCTGCTGCTGCTGCTGCTGCTGCCGAGAGAGAGAGAGTTAGAGACAGATGTCGATGCAGATAGAAAGAGAGACAAACATAGAGGTAAAAACAAAGAGATATATATGTACGTATATATATGAATGTATATATGCATACATATGCATTCATATATATACACATATATATATAGAGAGAGAGTTACAGAAAGAGAGTTGCAGCGAGAGATAAAGATAGATAGATAGAGAGAGAGATAAATATAAAGAGAGAGAGAGAGAGAGAGAGAGAGACAGAGACAGAGAGAGACAGAGAGAGAGGAGACAGCTAAACTGCACTCACTTGGGCCGCTGCAGACAATTCGGAGGAGACAGTCGCCATCCTTGTCTCCTTTCTTTTCGCTGTCTCTTCTTCTGTTGTTTTGAGGTGTACGTACAGCCAAACTAAAAAGATATATAAAGCCCCCGAGAGACCCCCGAAGCGAAAGGAGACAGTTCCAGCGCCAGCAGCAGCAGCAGCAGCAGCAGCAGCAGCAGCAGAAGAGGGGCAGCAGCAGCAGCAGCAGCAGCAACAGCAGTCAGCAGAAGAAGAGAAGACTTGAAATATCTATTAAAACAATAGGAGGGCCCTCAAGACTTCAAAGGGTGCGGCTTATATATAAAGGAGACAGTTACTGCTGCTGCTGCTGCAGCAGCAGAAGAAGAGGAGAGCAGCAAGATTGAATTAAATTATTAATTAGAATTTAAAAAGAAACAAAACACTACGCCGGGTGTATGCACAACAGAATTTAATCTGCTGCCCCCAGCAGCTTCCCCTCACGAGGTGTATAGGCAGCTAACACAGCCCCACCCTCTTACATGCATGCATGCATGCATGCATGCATATCTCGTAGTTAGAAGCCCTTTATATAATAAGACAAATCAGCAGAGATAAAGTATAGTTGAAGAGAGGGGGAGAGAGAGACAGAGAGAAAAAGATAAAAAATATTTTTAGAGACAGACAATGTGCAGAGACACCCGAAAAAACAATGAGGCGGCCTTTTGTCTGTATTTAATATTGCTGTAGACACATAATAAATAGCTTTAATTAATTAATTAATTTATTTATTTATTTATTTATCTATTTCTTTTGTTTTATATCATATGTACATTTAATTCTATTACACCCCACACCTGCATGCATGCGCAAAGGAATTGCGTATGATTATACACTCAAAGTGAAGAGACTTTAGAATAATATTTAAATAAAAATAAATAAAATAAACCCCTTTAAAAAGATTTAAATAAATATAAGAGAGATAATAGAAGAAGGAAAGAGGAGACAGTAAAGGTATAGGAGACAAAGGAGACAGTTGAGAGCTACGAGCAGCTTGCTGCTGCTGCTGCTGTTAGTAAAGAGCAGCAGCAGCAGCAAATACATGCATGCACATCAAGCCCCTATCTCATCCTATATCTTTGGCTAGCGGTGACTGGCTAGCTATGGATAGCTGTATCTAGGTGTAGCTAGCTGTAGCTAGCTGTAGCTAGCTGTAGCATTGCTTGGGTATGAGCGCATTTATAGTAGAAGCAGAGAAACAGAAAAGAAAAGAAAGACATGCAAACACCTCAGGGAATGCTGCTGCTGCTGCTGCTGCTGCTGTGGATGCTGCTGCTGCTGCTGTTCTCCTTGTCGTTATTGCTTAGAATTTAGGGTTTAGGGTTTAGGGTTTAAGGATTAGGGTTTAGGATTTAGGGTTTAGCGGATGCTGCCTCTCTTCGGAGTATCGAATTCATAGCAGCAGCAGCTAGAGCAGCAGCAGCAACAACAGCAGCAGGAACAGCAGCAGCAGCAGCAGCAGCAGCAGCATTGTTTAAAAAGAAAAGACGAGGACTTGTATTTACTTTTATTGTATGCATGAAGTGTACATACACCTCAAGAGGAATAAGAAAATAATTAAATAAATTAATCTCGACAAGTTTATTCTCTCAATTGTACAAAATAAAAATATAAAATTAGTTTGTCTTCATTGTGTTTATAAACAAAAAATATAAAATATGTTGATGCTAAGTTTAGTGAGTTTATGCTTATTACTATTTTTATTTATTTATTATTTATTATTATTTATAATTATTAATTATATCTTATTATTATTTTTTGTTATGTATTATTTTTCAGTGTTTATTATTATTTTGATATTTATTATTAATTAGAAACTCTATACTATTATTTATTATTTATTATTATTTATTATTATCAATTGTTCTTTATTATTTATTCTTTATTGTTTATATTAGTTGTTTATTATTCCTTGTTAAATTAATTATTGTGAAGATTATTTTTTGTTATAGGTGTAGGAAATAGTAAATAGTATATAAATATATATAAGAAACATTAAATAGTATATAGATATATATAATATAGATATATATAATATATATAATATATATTATATATATTATATATATTATATATA